TTTTTTGTCAGTCTCGAATTAGGCATATAACTCAGTGACGATATGGCACAGGGAGGGGTGAGACTCCAGCCAACTTAATGCACCGGCTGCATACCCGTGCCTATCCCCATGTATCAGTCCCCTCCATGATGTAATACACAAAACCAAACAACCTTCCATTAAACTATCAGGCAGGGAAGTAATTGCGCAAGAAAGAGTAGCTCCCCCTTTGTTCCAAGGCAGCCGTGCATGCGACCCCGATTCAAAGAGCGAACCATACGTCAAGGACAGGTCAAAGCTCAAGCTATCTGCTACCAGACGGACAGCATTGGGAAGCCAATCGCTGCGTTGTCTCGAATGAGTTTGAAAAGTCGACACAGAGGACCAGGTTTCAGAACCCTTACCGATGGTCAGTGGGTTGATGCATTAATTGGGACTGGGCAATGTATCTCGCAGTGGTTGGTCAGTCCACGGGAATTCACTCCCGCCATACAGGGAGCTCCAAGTCCACGACAATGGGAGGATTGAATCGCTTCCCTCCGCGATGAGGCCAGCTCGTCGCCATGATCGCCGCGTTAATGATGCAGGTTTCTCGTCGGCGCGAACGATCGTTCGGTGGGTCACTTGGGCATTCGTCTGGTCTTAATCGAGGATATGACGTGGTAGATTCCTCGATATCATCAGCAGACGGAAGGATCAGGATATTCTGCGCTGAAGGGAAAGGCACGCCTTGGTTGTTCTTCACTTCATCGAAAAAGAAATCGTCATTGTCTAGTCGCTGCGCTTTCTTGCCCGTCAGGTCGATCAGACTTTGCTTCTTACTTCCCGGCTCAGGCAACGCCCCGCGAATAACCTGCTCTAACCCTGTCAACGGCCACAGTGGCCATCGTACTCGCTCATAGCCTCGCGACTCGTGAACATGGCCACAGATCGCCAGAGAGGGCCGAACTCGACCCAGCGCCTGATGCAGGGCCTCGCACCCAACAGAACCACCGGTCGCTCGGCGGTCGCAATGGGAATGAGGCGGCGTGTGCGTAACAATCAGATCGACGTCCAATGGGATGTGGCTCCAGAGGGCAGCGGCGTCGACGGATTCGTATCCCCATGCCCAGGTCCCGGGTGATTGGGAGAAGGGCGATCCGAATACTTTAAAGATGGTGTTTGGGCCGTTGGGCCGGGTCAAGCGGACTAGTGCTGACTGGTGCCTGAGGAACACGATCGAGGACGATGCAGTTACGACTTCGATGCATTTCTGGGGATCTTCTAGACGCTGATTGTGGAATTTGGGGCCATGTTTGGCGTAGAAGTTTGGATCTAGCGTGATGTCATGATTGCCTGTGGGTTTAACCTGATTTAGTAATTTCGTAGCAAGGTTGAGTTCCTGAAAGGGGACAAAAAAACGTTGGTAAATATAGCCTGTGCAGGGCTGAGGCTGAGTCTGAGGCAGTAGGACTAACCACAGATGACTATTTTGACCTCAAAATCAGCCGCGGCCACCCAGTCTATGCTTTTGCGCAGTTCGGTTATGTTCCCTTGGTTTGTTAGGTCGCCTGCGTGGATGAGAACGTCGCCGGCTGGGAGTTTGAAGCCGGCTTCAGCTGGAGTGTAGCCGTGGGTATCGGAGAGACAGACGAAGCGCGTCTTGCGGCGCATGTTTCCATTATGGGATCTTGGCTCTCGGAGTGGTTTGAATGAGAGGCAATGAGGAAGGATTTACTATGAGAGACTAATTTTGATAGAGACAATTAACATGGGCCCCACAAGCAATGCTTGACTGAGATTGCCATAACATCATCGACCATAAATATTTACAGTACTATGGGTCCAACGATAAGATATCAGTACCACCCTTTGAGCTAGCTTAATAAAGAAGGACTTCTCCATGTCCGGGCGAATTTGACAGGTCAATGTCGGTCGTAAAAATTCTGGCCACTGGGGACAAAAAGAGCAGACCCAGTCTAGAACCCGCGGACCAATCAATCCCGGTAGATGGTGACAATGAGAAAGCCGGCCATTCCGATAGTGGAGACGGAGTGGCCTTAAGTCATGACCACCTTCAAATCCCACTGCATTCTTCTCTCTTGTCAGACAGGCGATCTCCCGATCCTGAAACAGGCAACAATTTTCTATTCCAAGGGCCAGCCATCTTATCCTCACCCGACTAAGGGTACCACCAACACACCACCATCTGTTCGGCACAATGCCTCGCTGGAATCGCAAAAAGAAATCCCAGGCGAAAGATGAGATCCCAAACAGCAGTAATCCCGCGGTGGTGCCATCCGACAATTTGACGGCCGTCGGCTCCCTCCGCGCGGTGTCTAGTAATCCCTCCGATGCGTCAAAATATGCTGAATTGGATCCCACCGAGCTTCGAAAGCTGGCGAAGCAGCATGCCGAATTCGGCCCGCTCGGGGATCCATCGCATCTTTACAAAAGTGAGCATCCGGGCGGCGAGATACCGGACCCGGTGCTTGATGAACCCCCCTACTTTATTGCCTTGACGACGTATATCAGCTTCCTGGTTCTCATTTTCTTGGGTCACTTTCATGACTACTTCGCGAAGTGGTTCCGCTCGCATACGTACCGTCACTTGAGGCCTCAGAATGGGTACGCGTCGCTGTACAGTGATTTCGAGAGCTTCTACACGAGACGTCTTAAACAGAGAATTAATGATTGCTTCGAACGGCCTACGACGGGTGTTCCCGGCAGGTATATCACCCTGCTTGACCAGACGTCAGAGGACAATCTCCATTTCCAGCTTACGGGAACGACGACCGATACCCTGAATTTGAGCTCGTACAACTATCTCGGGTTTGCTCAGTCCGAGGGACCTTGTTCTGACTACGCAGAAGAGACTATTCGCCGGGATGGTATCAGCATGGCGGGATCGTGTAGCGAGGCGGGGACGTCAAAACTCCATCTCGAGGTAGAGAATCAGATTGCCAGGTTCGTCGGAAAGGAGTCTGCAATTGTCTACTCGATGGGCTTTGTCACCAACGCTACCATCTTCCCCGCTCTTGTCGAACGGGGCTGCCTGATCCTGTCGGACGAGCTCAACCATGCGTCTATTCGTTTCGGTGCCCGTCTCTCGGGTGCTGCCATTCAGGTCTTTGCACACAATAACATGGCTGACCTTGAGAAGCGCCTGAGAGAAGCAATCTCCCAAGGTCAGCCACGCACACACCGGCCATGGAAGAAGATTCTTGTCACTGTCGAGGGTCTTTTCTCTATGGAAGGCACTATGTGCAACCTTCCTAGAATTCTCGAGCTCAAGAGACGATACAAATTCCACCTGTTTGTTGACGAGGCTCATTCGATCGGTGCCGTCGGACCCCATGGACGTGGTGTCTGTGACTACTTCAAGGTTGACCCTGCCGAGGTCGACATCCTCATGGGCACTTTCACTAAATCCTTTGGCGCCAATGGGGGCTACATTGCCGCTGACAAGGCGATCATCGACAAAGTGCGCTTTACAAACGCCGGTCAGGTTTTTGGCGAAGCACCGGCGCCTTCAGTTTTGGCACAGATTTATTCTTCCCTTCGCCTCATTGCCGATGAGGACCCCCTTCACCCTGGCCAGGGTATCGAGCGAGTGCAGCGACTGGCCTTCAACTCCCGGTATTTGAGACTCGGACTCAAGAGGCTTGGATTTATTGTTTACGGACACGACGACTCACCGATTGTTCCCCTCATGCTCTACAACCCTGCTAAGATGCCGGCCTTTTCCCACGAAATGTTACGGCGTAAGATCTCCGTCGTCGTCGTAACCTACCCGGCAACCCCGTTGGAGCTTTCTCGTGCACGGTTCTGTGTGTCCGCTGCGCACACCAAGGACGATCTCGACCGCATTCTGCGGGTATGCGATGAGATAGGAGATGCCCTAGAACTGAAGTACTCGACCGGTGTTGCCGGCGGTTTGAGGGACCCTCCGTCCGACGAAGACCTCAAGGGAGGTAAGAAGGCGATTGAGCCTCCTCGCTGGAATATCGAAGAAGTCATCGAGAAAGGTACTCGAGACGCTAAGTTGCCTCTGTACTGAAGAACACGACACAGGGACACCATTTACTGCCTGTTCACATCTCACCTCGACGCTGTAACGAAAGCCGGCCATTTTATCTTCTACTCTGAAACATTTCTGAATATGTATAATACGCTGAGATGATCGAGCACAAGAACATATAGTATAATATTAATAGTAATGACAATCAACTTCATTCTACCCTCATTAATCCCAGGTACTACTTAGTCAGCGGACCCAGTGATCTTCAGTTCTGCACTGGGGGTCCAAATAAGATCTCGGTAATTGGAAAGTACGATCTCAATCTCAAAGCATAATGTTGAAGGCCAGTGGTACAACTCTACACAACGCCTTTCTAATTCTCCGCTGTAGGTCTAGCCAAGAGACCAACTGCCGTCTACCTTAGGATATATTGCGTGTATCCGTAGATAGCAGAGGTTATAATGAAACATCTACAAGGTAGCCTATATACGCAGCAAGTGGTTTTAATACAGTTTATATAGTTCTTGGTGGTGATTGCATTCCTGAAAGTTGTGCCTCTATACAGACTGAAACGGTTTGGCGACTGCAGTTCCGCCCAGTTGTACTTGCGGGGCGGGCAGCGATAAGTGTGCGGAATGATTGATACCGACTACTATTCACCACTTAATCTTTGACATCACCGGCCTTGAAAACCGCAAGGTGACCCCCTGATAAGGGCAAACGATAGTGGAATGGGCCTATCAAGTCGGTACAGTGGCGGACGGGGCTGGAATCTCTGGGTGTATCACGTGACAATACTCAACGGGATTGGTCGGAGTTAGGGCTGGGGCCCTCCTCGACCTTACCCAAGCCGCACATTAGCCTCGCTTAGCCAGCGTGCGAACTCATCCGACTTCGTTGTGTGCGTAGAACCTGCCCACAACGACAACAACCGCCGACAACATACATCCCAAGGGAGTATCCTAGAGCAGCGCTCTTCCTTTCGCTGGATATTTTCGTGACAGAAGAGCAGGATGTCCTCCACCGAGCCAGTCGTGCGTACACCCCCTTCACATACAGTCGCTTTCCGGGTGGAAACCTTCCGTGATATATCTTTTGAAGACATAGAATTGCCGTGGATGCGGAGAGGAAGATCGAGAGATATAGGAGAAGGGAAAGACACTCTGTTTGGGTTTACAGTGATCGCTGACTTGTGATGGATTTTGGCAGGTCGTCATTGACGGCAAGGGACACCTTCTTGGTCGTCTGGCCAGCACTGTCGCTAAGCAGCTGCTTAACGGCCAGAAGATCGTCGTCGTGAGGTGTGAAGCCCTCAACATCTCCGGCGAGTTCTTCCGCGCGAAGCGTACGTTATCCGACCCGATCTATTTTTCTACCTGTGTTTCTTTGGGAGATGGGAACGATTTGAAGAAGCATTGGAAAGAGGAGGAAATCTACGCAGGGATTACGCAAATGGCGATGGAACAGCATATGATATTATTACTGGTGCAGACGGGCTGACATGGATATTGGGATATAGTCAAGTACCACGCCTACCTTCGCAAGATGACCCGTTTCAACCCTACTCGCGGAGGTGAGTTCAACCGACAGAAGATCGACGCAACTCCGTGGGCTTGTGCTGAATGATCACAGGTCCCTTCCACTTCCGTGCTCCCTCTCGCATCTTCTACAAGGCCGTCCGCGGAATGATTCCCCACAAGACCGCCCGTGGTGCTGCTGCCATGGAGCGCCTTAAGGTTTTCGAGGGTGTTCCTCCTCCTTATGACAAGAAGAAGCGTGTCGTTGTTCCCCAGGCTCTCCGTGTCCTCCGTCTCCGCCCCGGCCGCAAGTACTGCACCGTCGGCCGTCTCAGCCACGAGGTTGGCTGGAAGTACCAGGACGTTGTCGCCAGGTGCGTATCAGATATCCTAGAATGGGTAGCGAAGAAAATCTCGCTACAGGGCTGGCTGGATCATGGCTAACAGTATTCTTTTTCAAACTACAGACTCGAGGAGCGCAGAAAGGTCAAGAGCAGTGCATACTACGAGCGCAAGAAGGCCGCTCGCCGCCAACTCGTCCAGGCCCAGAAGTCGGCAGGTGTCAGCGACCAGACCAAGAGCCAGCTTGCTCAGTACGGATATTAGATACCTCGTTGCGCGGCTGGTTGCTTGTGTCTTTGATGGGATGGGTTGGGATCGCGAACGGTTTTCTTTCAGCGAGATTGTTTGGACGGCGAACCGATCGACCTTGTTCTCACTGTCCCTACCTTATCATGAATATTCCACAATGATCATGTTGTGACGCACATGGAGGCTGGAGAGACCGATTTCTTATTATAAAAAATAACGGAGTCGCTTGGGATGGAAGGTTGTTCAAAATAGCCGACCTTTATTTCGCGCCGTGGCGGTTTAATCCAAAGAATTTTCTTTCCGAGTTAAGAATGACTCTACGACCAGTTACTTGTCAAACTTTTCCATTCAGTAAACTTTGATACCTACCTAATACATAGACCGAATAATCACCATTTTCGACAACTATTACTCTCCATGCCCATGCGATACAAGTTTCTGGTTACACAACACTGCGGGTCATCCTCACTGTCCCCCCCCCCAGGTGTAGATCCAGTTGTCGCACACATATGTGACAAGCGGGTGATATGTAGATCAATTGTGACGAGATAATCCCTGCATTAGGCTGTCCTGTGATCCCACACCTATGCGCGTAGTGTCCATATATCATTGGTGTCTCTTGAGGTGTGGCCATCGTTTAACTAAGTTCATTATGTTTTTAACAGATGATATATAATGTATTGTAGACAGAGATGCCTAAATATATTAACCCGCTCCTAAGCGCCGCATATGTGATATGTCTGCAGCGGTGTTAAGTCTTTTGACTTAGGATCACACGCGATCATGAACAGACCTGTTTTACTTTTTCATTCCATGAATACTCATGGTCATAATTATAATCATGTAAATATATTTATTACAGTATTAAGAGACAAGAACTCATCACCAAAACATGTGATCCGAACATTAGACATACCCTTAGTAAGTACCGGGACTAACCAATAACCGGTCGCCTTGGCGCACCTTACTAATCGCTGCTAAGAGATAGTGTACCACCGAAGGAAAACAAATCAAGGGCGGAAAGAAAGGACTACGCAAGGAGCGAAATAATAACCAAAAAAGAAGCAACAGGCCTCACTAATTAACCATTTAGAGGCAATTTCAACCCTTCCGGATCATAGAACTACGAAAGGTTACCTCCGGATGGAAGGAAGGGTAACCTCAGCGGGAATTGAATCGATCCTCCCGCCTCCTCCGCGGTCCGAGTTAGTTTCGATTTCCCCGCATTTCGCAGCTTTCTCCAACTTGGGGTCAGGACTCGACTACCAGTGGTTGTGACAACTTACTCTTGTTTTCTCCGGGATTATCTATAATTGCTTGTCTTTGATTGAATATTTCTTGCATATCCTGTGATCAACCGGTCTAAATTAGCCCCTTTTGCCTTTAGTAAAGTCGCCATTCTGTTGCCGAGGATCGAATCATGTCCGGTGCTGTATCGAGGTTGTCGGGACTCTTGGGCCATTTTGTCCCTGGCGCAGAGCAACGGGTTAATTTTCATACACTGTCGCCGACGTTCTTCTTGCCCAGGGCGGCGGCTATTGAACCCGAGGTTTGTCTTGACTTTCTTTGTTTGCATTTTGGGTTTCAAGGGGTGTGATTGAGTGCTAATATTAGGGGATAGGCTGAGGCCATCCATCACGTTACTGCGAATAACCAGGTTTTGAGACGGAACTATGCTGAGACGGCGGATCGTGCCAGGGGTCTCGCTTATTATCTGAAGAAGCATGGGTTCAAGAGAGTCGGTGTGCTGTGCCCTAATACGCCTGCGTTTTTAGAGTCAATCTTTGGAATTGCGGCTGCTGGGGCGGTGAATATTGGTGGGTTTAAGATTTCTCTGTGTCTTTTATATGTTTGAGGTTGCTTGGGGGTCATTAGCTAACAGGTGGATGGGTAGCTGTTAATTATCGGTTGAAGGAGGACGATATCGCTTACATATTCACGCACTCTGATGTCGAGGCTATTATTGTTGATCAGGAGTTCCTGTCGCTTCTACAAAGTTATCGTGCTTCGAAGCCCAATATCCCTATTATTGTCGATACGGATACGGATGCCACCGAAGGCCAGTTATCCGGTCCCTTTGATGAGGCGGTTTTGGAAGGCTTGAGGTATGACTTGGATACGGGGGCCAAAGGTTGGCCTGGGCTCGAGGCCCAAGCCGCTTCTGAAGATGACGTTATCGCTCTTGCGTACACCAGCGGTACGACGGCTCGACCGAAGGGTGTCGAGTATACCCATCGTGGCTGCTATCTTGCTGCGATGGGCAATGTGATTGAATCTGGGCTTAATTCGCACCATGGTCGGTGCCGGTATCTGTGGACTTTGCCTATGTTCCATGCCGTTGGTTGGTGTTCATTACTTAGGCTATTATGCGAAGAGTATTACGACTGACCATTTTTTAGGGTGGACGTTCCCTTGGGCTGTCACGGCAGTGCGTGGTACCCATTACTGCTTGCGGAAGATTGACTACCCGCAAATCTGGAAGCTACTGAAGCAGGAGCACATCACGCATTTTAATGCCGCTCCGACGGTGAATACCCTGCTCTGCAATTCTAAGGAGGCGGAGCGGCTGCCCGAGCCAGTTCATGTTACAGTCGCGGCGAGTCCGCCTACGCCTCATCTCTTCGAGCAGATGACTAACTTGAACCTCCATCCTGTGCATGTATATGGCATGACGGAGACATACGGGCCAATCACGAAAGGCTATTATCTGCCTGCATGGGACAACCTGCCGTCAAGTGAAAGGTATAAGAAGATGGCCAGGCAAGGACATGGCTTTGTGACCAGTCTACCCGTACGAGTAATTAAGACGGATGTTTCCGAGGGCACTGTCATTGATGTTAGTCGGGATGGCAAGGAGATAGGTGAAATTGTTTTCGTCGGGAATATCTGTGCTCGGGGCTACTACAAAGACCCGGACGCTACGCGGAAACTCTTCGCGGGTGGCGTTCTCCACTCCGGAGACTTGGCTGTGTGGCATGCCGATGGTTCAATTCAGATCCAAGACCGAGCGAAAGACATCATTATCAGCGGTAAGTCTTGAATTTGTTAGTACACCATGATCTTGTTTCTTGCTAATAAGCGAGATGCAGGCGGAGAGAATATCTCATCTGTGGCGCTAGAGTCTATGCTAGTCACCCACCCGGACATTCTCGAGGCCGGAGTCGTAGCCGTTCCCGACAGCCACTGGGGAGAGCGACCAAAGGCATTTGTGACGGTGAAGTCAGGAAAGTCATTGACGGGTTCCGAGGTGATCGATTGGGCCCGGAATACCAGTGATATCAGCAAGTTTATGATCCCTCGAGAGGTTGAAGTAGTGGCGGAACTGCCCAAGACTAGTACCGGGAAAGTGAGAAAGAACATCCTCCGCGACTGGGCCAAAGGAGCGAATTGATCATGAAGGAGGTGTTATATAATTCAAAATAAATATGCATAGACGATCTAGACAATATACATGAATTTTTGAGATTGGGCTGCTCTTAGTATAGGCTGACACTATCCCTGTTGGTTCCCAATGAACATACTTTATGGTCTTGCCGATAGTCTACCGCCGTGCCAGCAAGTCCCATTTTTGGAAGGGGGGCACTAGATGGACCCAACCTTGCCTGACCAGATCCTCATTTGGGTTGAAAAAGGGGCCGGAACTCGAAAGACTGCCAAGCGGAAGGATCGGTGACCCATCGAGGGGGTTCGTGATGAGTTGATAATATATATTCGGTACTAGTAGTTTAGTATACTATTACTATGTTTGGAGGACAGTTGTTGAACAGGTGGAGAGATCTGTGTGTCCGTGGTGAAACGCCATGGAGGGGAGAGCGATGCGAGATGACAGGTAATAAAGAGAGAAGTAGTAGTAGTAGTAGTAGTAGTAGTAGTAGTAGTAGTAGTAGTAGTAGTAGTAGTAGTAGTAGTAGTAGTAGTAGTAGTAGTAGTAGTAGTA